GAGGTTCGGGGCCTGCTGAAGGGCCCCGAAATTTCTTGGTAATTTAGAGGGCGAACGGTGGTATTTGAACTATGAACTATGATTCAGCCAGTCAAATTTCTAATTGCAAGAGGGGGACCATTGGTGCGATTTTTTTCAGGAATTGAAGGGGGGTCACTGCTGTGGATGGCGTTTGGGGGATTTTCAAGCCCATGGAGTGTACCTTTAAGGTTGAAATTTTTGTAGTTACTTTTAAAGAAATAACTCATCATTTGTTATCGTTAATAAAAATCTATTAAGTGGCATTTGAGTTTATTTAAAAATAAAAAAAATCATGTTTGATTTCATAGATATAATATTAGATCTCTTGTTAATAAACGTTTTTAACACATGGAAAATAATGAAGGTAACGAATACCCAGCTTACACAGAACGTTTTGATAACAGGGTTATATATTGGTTAGACCATCAACAAGTGTTAAGATAACGTTATTCTACACTGCCACTGTCACCGCCATTGATTCGAGAAACGTTGCCAGCAAGTTCTATTAAGGTATATAAATTTTGATGAAATTTACAAATTATACATTTTTGTTAATTTTGGCAAAAATACATGAACAAAGGATTTCATATTTTGCATCACTACAATTTGCACAACTTTAATCATCACATCTAGTATTAAAACGTTCTAACAGTGTTATAAAAATAAAAAAAAGATATGTGTCGGTTATATTTACCAATATAGCAAGGCAGTAGTTGCGCCATACGCTGTCGATATAACGTTGGGCAACAAGCCTGCGTCATGCCCTGTCTTAACTACACCTAGTGGCTGATTACAAATTGGGGTTGGGGTTAGTCGGCGACTTGAACGATGAGGATTTAAGAACCCTCGGGCAGTCGGTACCTACCCGAAAGAAAAGGTTTTAAAAAACCTATAAAAATAGACTTCATTTATGTAATAAGATTTATCAAAATTATTAAAAAGGTGTTTTCAAGTAATCCTGATAGTTGATTGGCGTTTGTGATGAATTACTGGATTGTTTTAACTTCATTTCAGAAAATTCATTCTAATAAATTGCGTACAAGGTCAGCCAAAACAGGAGTAGTGAAAAGGTTTAGCAGTGACATGATTTAAGCAAGTATGGTTAAATAGTACGCCACGGTCATCTGATTGACAAGTTGGGGGAATACATTCTACTGGAGGGGTAAAGTGGAGAAAATCCACTCAATCTGAGGGTTGTCAGGTGGGGCGGGTCCATTGCATTTGAGGGGTGACAGGTGGGGCGAGTCCATTGCATTTGAAAGGGGTGACAGGTGGGGTGAGTCCATTGCATTAGAGGGGTGACAGGTGGTGTGAGTACATTGCATAAGAAGGGGTGGCAGGTAGGGTGAGACTTGTAATTATCCCAATTTGGTTCAGAGAACAGGAACTGAAAAAATTGTTCCGTTTTTCCCTCAGAAATAATTTTTTTTGCCAATTTCAGCCTTACATCAGAATCATCCCACATTTTCATTATTACGTTCAAATATCAAATTATTTATACTAAGAATAGGCCGCCAAATTAAAACAATTCACGATAGCAAAATTCAAAACCCGTCAAAAAGGGACCCTCCCTATATAAGAATAGTTCCACATGCTAAAGAACAAAAGTCTCATGTGAATTTTTTTAAATCCAGGATTGTAAATTTATATAAATTTGAACTATAAAATGTAGGTCGTTGGAAACCATTTTAGATATTTTATTTCAGTGCGCTAAAACAGCTTGGAGGGGTTATTTAGAAAATACTGGTCATTTTACAACTATTTAAAATTTAGCTATCACAGAAAACCGTCAAACACAAAAACATCGACATTATTTACAGATCAGATTGAATTTGAAAGTCCTCAAACACTAAAAATAACTCATTTTCCATTATTATTACTACTATCCTTATCATAATAATTTCATAACAAAATGAAAAATAAAACGCCAAATTACAAAGCTTTTTTATTGAGTTTTCATATAATAGATGTACGAAGGAGCGTGGGTTCCTGTGTATGAAACAAAGGCTAGACTTCATAGGTTGCTTTCAGGCGGATGCTGTGCAGAATCTCGTTGAGCCCCTGAAAAGATAAAATAATGTTCATAACTTTGAACTAAATAGACAGGCTCTCTACATTCTAATATTGCATGTAATATCACAAGGCAGAGGGCACATATAAATGGAATGGCGTGCACGTTTATTTACTAGTCTGATGTTCAGGTTCAGCTAGCGCAAAACCAAAATTATGATGTGGAATTAGTTAATGATATAACTAATTGAGGCCTCTTGTTAAAAAAGTAACATTGATAGCACAACCCGTTTCATTTGCAGAGTGGGTGAGGTTATTGCTGCGACCGTTAATATATTCCTCTTTGTATTAAAAGTTATAACACGTGTTGTAGTACATGTTGGCGCATTTTAGAGAAAGATCATTTACAAATTCTCTTCGAAAATTATAACAAATATAATGCACATACACGACACGGCACAATGGAGACGACAGGCTGTGTAAAATATGTATCTGTCAATCATTGTGCAATGAGCACTCGAAATCCTTGGATCAGAAGCTCAAAACGGTGACAAGCAGCATCCAATTAATTAATTTGGATGGTAATTTTCGACATTTTGAATTAGGTCAAAATATTCAAAATTAATTGTCAAGGCCGGGACATACAAAATGTTCAAACAGATGGTTGAAAAGTGCAGAGGATTTCAAGCAACCTTAGGTTATCATCAAAAGGCAGATGAATGCGCCGTTTATCCTGAACATTTGGAGTTCCAATGCACCGTAAGCAATAATTTCTACCATTCTGAGTGACTTACGAGTAACAATGGGAATATAGTAAAAGGATTCATGTCATAAATATTTGTCGTAAATATTTTTTTCTCACTCTTCTGCGCATTTAGTATGTAATGGCTGCGGTTGATGAAGAAATAGTGATACTCACAAACATACATTTGCTTCCATGCCTTATAAAAGCTCGACCTTCTATCTGCACCACAAATACTGTTGCGTCTACACCCGCCTCTGTCTAACTGCCAAGTGAGCATTCGGGAAGACAGCTCGCACTACGATGAACGACTTGTTGTTATGCAAATAACATGGTCATGGTGGCCTATGGTATTGACATAAATGACTTAGAGCTAGGATTGCATGCCCTCACCAAATGCTGTTACTTCGTCATTAGTTTATAATGTGGGGATTTTTACCTCCGCCAAGGAGGTTATGTTTTTGGTTCCGTTAGTCTGTCTGTCTGTTAGCAACATTACAGAAAAAGTTACGGACCGATTTTGATTAAATTTTCAAGAACCGTCAGAATTTTCAAGAACCGTCCGGATCATTAATCAATCAATAATCAAAAATAAAAAAACTAAATCATTATAGAATGAAGGGGTGAAACGGCATTGGGTGGAGACTCTGCTGCCTTAGCGGTGGTCTGCGCTCTCGGAGTGCTTTTCTAGTTAAAGAAAAATACATTTTGTGCACTGCTGAATCATACTTCGTATTTCATAGATCTCTTGGGAAGTGAGACTCATTTTAGCAAGTACATTGTAATACGTCACACTCACACACGCTCGCGGGCGTGCGCGCGACAGCGAGAGACGCTAAACCTGTCCTTCCAAATTTTAGAGGCTCATAAACCACACCGTTACCACAATTAAGAGACCGTTAATAACGCTTTTAATTTCTTAGCGTCTATGACAATCTGACTGTCCAACCGCCCCCCATAGCGATATCATATCATATAATTTTCACTTAACTGATAGAGAGGGAACAATGGTTGTTTTGCATTTTGACGCAAAAATACAAATTTGTAGGCCTACGTAGAGGTTATCATTTTACCTCAAAGTATTTAATATGCCTTTGTCCTACGAACGTTTGTTATAACTCTTTTTTAAAGTGTTACATGTATCTTCAGAACAACACAGAGGGTAAGAGGATCGCAGAACATCTTTCGTTGAGCATATCGGAAAAAAGGGACAGGAGAGGTACTATGTAAAAGAGCTGAGCAACTACTGTGACAAAACTTGGGATTTGGACTTCGCTGAGATCGACGTCCCTATTCTGGAATTTTTCGAAAATGTTTTGAACCCTGCCGTGCGACCGAAACAACACAGTCCTGCCACCAGCGCCGCCTGGGAGTGGTTGGAGTGTGTCTTCTGGTCATTTCTTAGATATGTCATAGTGGTAGCCTACTAGTAACGATTATTTGTGTTTATTCAAGGCCGACAGGTAACACCGACACTGTACCATGAGAGTGGTGATTATACATGTAGCTATTAACATTATAACTTATCTACATGCTTAATGCAGCCGGAGTTTCATTCTAGGCCTCAAAACTTGTTTGCACACATTTGCTATCGCTAAACTTTATATGATTTTAGATGACTGGCCATTTTCGTGGTTTAGGACAAAGCGAGCGATGGAAGAATACGGAGACATGCGAGTATCCATAGCAACATTTGTTAATGAAGTAAATGATATTCAGTTACCTGCGCGATAATTGTAAAGACTGGTTTATAAGTTAAAGTAGTTCACACATGATGGTTTAAGAACATTGCTGTGAAATATTGAGCAGATTCCGAAACTAATCGCACATATATTATACTACATGTAGAACTGAAGTTATTCATAATGTACTTTATTTTGATAAATAACGTACAGAAAAAAAGACTTAAAAAGTCAAGATAATGAAAACGAGAAAAGAAAATAAAAGTACTTTTAAAAGAATTAAAAAAGAGTGATTGCACCGCGTTCTATATTCTCACATTCAAGTCTAAAGGAACTAAACGTGTATAGACAACATTCAAGATTATCCAAGAGACCGCTAAATGTATCTCTTTATATACGAAGTACATAGATAGGCCCTATATGTATATAAACTAGGTTCTCTGTCTCAAAAAGCTTGAATTATTTTAGCGCCCCCGTCTTCATAAGTGTTCAACATAGTATACAGTTTGAATACCAAGTACATACGTACACAAACTGGGTTCTATGTCTCAAAAAGCTTGAATTATTCTAGCACCCTCATCTTCGTATGTGTTCAACATAGTATACAGTTTGGTGTAAATAATTGAAACGTGATCACAGATGTGGCGTCGTATCAAGCTATCAAATATTAAAACATAAGCATGGAAAGCAACGTGGCATTTCACAATACCGACTAGCCTTGAAGAACTATATTTTAGCTGTTCTTGGCTGAAATAACCCCTCCGACAGGTAAGTTTGTTGCTTCAAGAGTTGTCGGATATACACTGTATAAACATAGAGAACAACGGTTAATTATTGTGATAGCTGTAATAAAACTTAAAAATTGATTCTGTGATTCTGTGTTTAGGGTAGATGTATCATGTTGAACTTGAATATAGAATCTCGTACTATTCTCATGTTTCGTCATGACGTTAACTTAGCATGATATCATTTACTTGTATATTGCATTTTCAACGCAATTCATTGTTTGTTTTTCTTTTATGAAATATTTTCAGTAAATTGTGTACTGTTTAAGATTAGTTAACCGTTCTTCTACACACTGGCTCGTTCAGAAGTTGCACTTATTTTCTGAATTTCATGTTGATTGTTAAAATGCAAATGTAAGCATACCCTTATACATTCTCAAAATTTTTTATTGAAAAAAATATCAACCAAATAAGGGCAAAGACATTTCGGGGCGTATTGGAATTAGTTGCCACGTTTTAAGATGGCAGTCCATTTTTTACGCAATGCCTAATCACTTTTTCTTGTTACGTTACCTTTTCCAGCCATCAAATATATAAACGGCAGGAAGACTAGGCATATCAGTGACGGGCGGTCTACCTGTCATCCCAGCGGTCATGGGTGTGCGAAGAAATTTTACTTCCGTTTTATACGCGGCTAAGAGACGGCCATTATTGATAGCCTTCGTGTTGGTAACAGCTGTTACTTATTTCATAGTGTTCGATCCATTCAAGTCCACGCAAACTTCACTACGCCTAGGTGCTAGAGACACACGGCCGCGCACGTATGCTCACACGTTTAATCTAGGCGGACGAGTGTTCGGAAACGAGAAAAACTTTAAGGATGTATCTTCGTCTGTTACGACGTCGGTCGTTTTTGAATTTGGAAGGGAGAGCATACGATCGAAATTCGATATGCAATTTGTTGACGACGTGTATTTAATGTGCCCCGCGATTACCTACAAGGATGACGGCAACATCCAGTTGATTATGCGCATTTGGCTACTGCCAAAGCTGATTGAACTAAGGAAATTAAACTCTAGACTCATGAAAAATTACATTATGGGTCAGACCCTGAATTCAAACTACGACCCAGTAACATCTCCAAGAATTTTAGGAATACCAATCCCCATGATAGGAGAAGTTGGCGGACCTAACGATCCCAGAGTATTGCATCACAAGGGGGTTTCCTACGTTCTCTTTAATAAATATCTACCTACCAACAAAACCTGCGAAGGAAAACCAACCAACGTACAGATTTATCTTTACAACCTAGAAACCGATGAATCTAGGCTGTTGACGATTGAGGGGGATGCTCAGAAGTGCCGTGAAAAGAACTGGGTCTCGATGATCGTTGACGACAAAGTGTATATTGTGTATTCCCTGGATCCGACCCTCATATTACAATGTGATTTAGCCAAAGCCCACTGTAAGGTGGAAAACACTGGGAAATCTTTCCGAGAAGCTTCTGATGACGTCCATTCAGACAAACCACTGCTCCGAGGTAGCACGCCGTATGTCCTGTATAAATGGCCATATTACATCACTCTGGTGCATACGCGATGGGTTAGCGAATATCATTACGACAAGAACTTTAACTACTTAATCTACGCCATTCACCTTCTGGTCTTCAATGCACAAACCTACCAAATCGCCTACGTCAGCCAACCTATAGATATGAGCCCCGAATTCATGAACCGTCATATGCCATTCTTTGGCCACATGCCCAATTCTTTTATATACCCGGTTTCTTTGATTCTAAGGGACTCTGACACTCTCCACACCGGGTTGCATTTGAACGACAGGGATTCGGTCATTGCTGAAATTAAAGGTCTGGATAATATAATGAAGGAGGTATATGCTTTTGTTAAAAACGACGATAAGCCTACTCCAGGCTTTGTCAGTGAATACATGGCGTCCATGGATTTGTGGAAGAACATCAAAGTGCCAGAGGAGGCAAAGGCACCGGAAGTTCAACAAGCTATAGAAATAGAAATGAAAGCACTTCAAGCTAAATTAAAAGCGAAAGGTATTGAATAATAAAACTGTAATCATGGTATTTTATACCTATGTTCATTAACCGCTTTTGTTAGCATAATAACCAAAAAGAATTTGCTTAGTCTCTTTTTGACAGTAATGTAAATTAATGTACCAATGTTTTTTAACCTTAGATTTCTTTCAAGGACACGTAGTTGCCAGGTGGTTGATGTTTAATGTGCGTAGGTGCTACCCGGGGTGGTGCGTGTAAATAAATTGTAACATTGTTAAAGCAATTTCTTGGCGTGTCATTTACGATATTGCTGACGCTATGGAACTTCCTGAAATCTAAAAAACGGAAATAGGTAATGGCGGCTAGTGATAAAGTATTCATGTATCTTTTGAAAGGATAAAAAGAAAGACGCTCTGAAAAGAACTTCGTATTAGTGTAGAATCTGAAGTGATAACTGCTAATAAAACGAGCCGTGTTTAATTATATTAGTTATTGATTGGCGGTTGTGATGACAGCCTCTATGAAGCTAGTTACTAAACCAAAGATTTTTTTCAAAACCAAGCACAGGTACACATTTTAACGGAAGAACTGAAAGGTTATTAAACACGTGTATTATGTGTTTAGAGTAGTTCGTTTATAATTGCTTTAACTCGCCTATATACAAGGTAATGGTATATGCATATTAAAAGCAAATTCTAGACGTATTTCATCCTTTTTATGTTCTTTGCAGGCAACTTGACCCCTATATATAAATGTCTTGTTTAATGCAGTGTCACGTATTGTTTCCTCTGTCTTCACCACAGTTACTATTAGAACCTAAAACAGCATGTTGCACTTCGTGAATAAAAGATTATTGGTATTAACCAGTAACAATCCTGAATATGAAACTGAGATAGGAAACATACTGAAAATATCTACCAGTTTAATTAATTTATTCAGAGCTCAGGTAGTACTCCCGCATCTTTACAGTGCAAATTGTTTCGCTGGTCGATGTCTGTCCCTAATTATAATTACATGAAGACACAAATAAGAAATAGAAACAGTAACCAATATCTATGCAATATTTTTTCATCACAACATACTGTTTATGATTTAGGATATTAGTAACATATCATGCACTTTCACATTATTCAATGTAGATCAAGTTAATTCTAAAATTTACACCTAATATTGGCTTTTCAGTAATTTCTCGTTTAAAAGTTTTTAACGCTGATAGTAACGATAACCCTCCCTTGACTGGTAGTCTGATACCGAAGAAGATGTGCGAGTCGCCGAATTGATCTCACAAAGTCTCGTCCCTTTCGATGATGCTCCACTAGACTGAAGGTTAAAAGAGGCACATCCTGGCGTTTTAACACAGAGAGCAGCACAAAGTATCGTCGAACGTACTTGTTGACTTTTGATAACGTGATTGTTTAAGGAAAAATTTTCTTCTGATCCGGTATAATGTTGTGATCGCTCTGAAATAGTTAAAATAATATAAGGAACGATAGATGTAGGCCTATATTAGTTCATCGAAAGGACACTAGGTACATGCCTTTTGACTAATTGATTGGAACTATAATATGTCATTGGTGGAAAATCCTACATGTCTTCAGTTTGCCTTTAGGAGACCTTCCGGAAATATGCAAATAAAATATATATATTCAAAATCGTATTGTGAAACAAAGGCGGCGTACAAGGCTTGAATTCGACCTCGGGCTTCTCTGTATCTACTGTTACTGTATAATATCTAAAACAATTACGTTTTGAAAAAAAAAGTAATTTACCGTTGAGGTGTGTATCTTGCATATTGTTGCATCTTGTGGGAATAGTACAAATCTCTGATTCTGAAGATACCCCAGAACATGCGGCTCCCCCATCAGGAGGAGGATTGGTGCACGTGCGAGAACGTGTTCTGCTGCCTAGTTGACAGGTGACCGAACATGGGCTCCAGTTTTGCCAATCAGACCATCCACCATTGACTGGGAAAAGCCAAAAGTAAAAATCTGAGATGATCATCAATTCTTATAAACTATTTTCTTGTATAAAATTCTCATCAATGCATAATGCTTTGATTCAGAAATTCTTATTCTTTGATTGTCAGTATAGAACGCCTACCGATTACATCCGTGGCCTCTTTGTAACAAGCAAAGTACTTGTTTTCTGAACACTGATTGTTATACCACCGCCAGTCCGGCGGCTCCAAGGAAACACAAGATTTACTGGAATCTGCGAAAAGAAAAAAATTACGGATAACTTCTACAAGAAAACAAAGTATTTTATTTACTTTATTTTCTTGAAAACAGGCGGGTGCTGGAAATTGCTTACTAAATTACGTTTCTAGATAATTTGCTTAGATAAATAAAAATGAGACTGAAATAATTTCAGATGTTATCCGACACTTTTTATGTGCTTTTTATGTTTTTATTGAATGATTCGCTATAGCGCCGATAATGGTATTTTTATAGACTATAATCCGCACGCACCAGTGTTATCTGGTTGCCCTTTCGCCCAATTGGCGTACCCAAGTGAAGACATGGTCCCATCATCCCAATACCCAGTGGTTGTAGTAGTGTCCCACTGTAAACTGGTCCATATCCCAATCGCACATGCGCTGCCACTTGAAATTGGATTTTTAAAAAATTAATAAAAGTAACTGTTTTTTTCTTAACCGAATAACCAAGTTACAGGATACCTTAGCTGTTTCCAAAACAATGTTAATTTTCCAGTCTCCAGTCCTGATTTAAATCGGAAACCATGTATTGATTTCTGCTAACATTTTGCCTAACACGCCTCAATATGTGAAAAAATTATTCTACTCACCAATAGTTAATAATTTTCTTTTGTACGTATTCCTGCTCTTCTGTGCTGTTAATAGTAGTCATTCTAGAGCCAGGACGGAAGGAGGTACACATTGATTTGGCGGAATCGTATTGTCTTTCCGATACTTTAAACCTGTAACACCAGTATGACCAGTTCTCAAAGCCATCGTCGCAGGTGCCTGAAACTGAACACAACATCACAGCAAATAAACGAAGTGCAATTTGTTTAAAAACAATGACTGTTCGATCTTGGACTTACGCCCACAAAATGCTCTGAATATACTTAATGTTCAAAGGAGCGATTACACGCATTGAAATATAGATGGGATTGTTTTGCTTGGTTATCACTCTGTGAGCTGTAAAACGTTGTGGATCGTCTGACTTCGTAGACGCGCAGTAGTAATTAATTAATAGAAAATCATTCTTTTTACACTCCAATATTGTAATAACTTTCCCCATTATAACTTGTTTAAATTCATTATACTGAACCCAGCCAATACATATGTATGATAAATGGCACTTTGTTTTTAATTACCGTTTACCTGGTAGTTTTAAATCGCAATCAATACATGGAATGACAAAGTGATGAAAAAACAGTACCGGTAAATATAGATATCATATAAGAAAAACTGGGTTGCTCAAGCAGACCAGAAGCACACAAAGAAGACAATGAGATATCCTTTTCGTCAAGTACAAATATAACTTGATAACGAATATTAATTAATACATCAGAATTTAATTTCCGCAGCGATCGACGATCCTGCATGTTTCTGATCAAATGCCGTCTACGAAGTTAGTGAAAACAGCTGAAAGAAACAAACCTAGAAAAAAATGAACTGACGCCGGTAATCCTCCTGTGTTCGTACGATAACGGACGTTTTTGTCTACAGAGCAGCTCTAAGAATTATATTATAACATGGACTGCAAACCTACATTTAATACAAGGACTGTACTAGGTTATGCATCTTTTGTTATTGTGATTATTCTATGTGGTGCAATCACTCATATCCCATTAGTGGCAAAATGAATGAAAACAATTTTAGCATTTGTTCATATCGAAAAAAATGCAGAAAATTATCACCAGATGGCTAAATCAATCAGAATAAAGGGTTTGTGCTCAACAAATAAAAAAAATGCTATTATTTGCAAAACTGCATATGCTGCGAAAGAACAAATTAAAATACATATATCGAAAAGAAAAAGATAGGACAATTGGGTCTTTTAATCTAAATAGTTATTTCGAATATTCTATTTACGGTTTTTATCCAAGAAGTGATTTAGTCGTAATTCTTCTGTAAGCTGACAACGATTTTGCTTTTAACTGTATAGGAAACCACAGGAAAAATGCGTTGAGTCCATTACATCCATTATACATGGTGTCGTGTAAAAAAAATTGTTACGGTCACCTATATTTTGCAAAGATTTTTTGTATCTTATATACACAAATACAGAACAGAACAAAAATACAGAAGCGTTTTTTTTTTATAATTAAAACGAAAACCGCCTTTAATAAGTATAAATGTATTTGCAACTCACCACTGTTCAACACCCCGTTCTGAACACTTGGGCAGATAAACAGCTCTAAAAGTAGGATGTATAAAATCATCTTCTTTTGTTTGAACATAATCCCACTGCAGGAAACGGTGTTCAAGTCCTTGGACAACCTGAAGCTTGTGGCGTCTCTCAAAACAATTTATAAAAGATTGCATTGAACTTTGAACCGGTTGTGACTCAAAAATGCGTTAGAAACATTTTGCCACAATTCAATTTGTCTACTCTCTGCGTCTTTGAGCATTTATACACACCGCTGGTCAAAAGTTAAGCAACACATTTTTTTTTCAAAATATATCGATAACATGAAGGTCATTTGTAAACATAAAAAGATCACAGTTCCAAAGTTTTATAGGTCTCTAATGGTTTAGACTTTCAGGCATAAAATTCCCAAATCTATCAATTCAATTAAACATTATTCATTCGATTTCAAAATGGTGCCACATTGGACCAAATAAGTAAGCTTACTTGTCGTTTGTGTCTTGGTGTATAGGGTTGTTGGGCGTGGTGCTTTGGATTGTAATCCGTTCCTTAAAATGCGTCTAGCGTTGTCTTGACAACATTTCTAAAGAACATTTCTAAAGAATACCAAACGCTTGTTGTCTTGGAATTTACTGGGACAACCGACAAGTGTCCTTAACCTTACATCAGTGGCCCAATTCGTTTCCAATAGATTTCTGCGACAAGCAATTCTAAGCTATTTTAAAGAAGTCAAAACATCGGAAAGAAACGCAGAGATGCAAGTTTTTGAAGCAAATTGATTGCACTGCATCCGAGAAAAGATTGCAAAAAACAAACTCTAAGGTTACAAAGTGCATGGTGGCAATAACATGTCTCAATGAATAATGCCAGTCTGATACAAAGAATTATTGATAAAGGGTTGAGTTTGTGTAATTCAAAATGCAATCAGGACAGTTTAAGTAC